TGTATAAATGGTTTCATTATTTATATATTCTTAAATAAAAAATATATATTTTCATATTGTATGTATGTGAAATAAAAAATATTGCTATTTTACAAAAATTTTACAAAAATGTAAACATATATTTCCGAATAAATAAGTTTTTAATTAGCAGTAATTAGTAAATAATTTTCAATAAACCTATATAATATAAACCTATTAATATAAATTTTTTTATATTAATGGAAATATGTAAGAAATACATAATTAACATATAACAAGTAAATATTATTGTTTCACAATTCGCATGTGTAACTAAGCTTTCAATAATTATATGTATATGTATATAAGGTTGAATATATACGCATAGATATTATTCATATATTTCATCTAATATAAACATAAATAATTTCTTAAAGAACATATACATAAGCAAAGATGGCAGCTCAACATAAGTATACACAAACTCTTATATCTGAAATTCATATAATAAATTATACAACCAAATTGCATAATTTATATTTTCTAAATTTGTCTATTTCTAAATAAAAATGATATTTTTAAAATTAATGCAAACAATGAAAAGTATTTATATAAGTACAAGCGTCTCATTATTCTGTATATATCATTCTATTCTGTATACATTATTCTGTATATATTATTATATTATGCAACTTTATTATAAATTTGAAAAATCGATTGCACTTAATTATAGATTACAATGTGAAATTTGTATTAAGTATCTATTATATTTAAAAAAATAATATTGTAGGATGATTCTTATTATATATTAAAAAAATTTTATTATATATGAAATTCATATTTTTGCAAATATTATTTTTATATTATATTTTATGAATCATTCCGAGACTCAGTTCTGATTATACATGATATTTCCTGTAACTGATTATTTAAAATGTCTCCGTTGTTTTTGATGATACGCGAAAATATCACAGGGGATCTTGTTCGGATTCGAAGGAGCACATACTATGATAAGCAAAAAATTTTTCTCATTTTTTCAGATTTCGTCACCTTTATTTTTTTTTAATGAAATTGTATGTCCATATTTTTTTTACACAATATAGTTCCTCTAATTATTCTGCACATAAAAATATTAAGGTAGTGATATAAAAAAAAATTAGTTTACGAGATATTTTATTCTGGCATATATTGACATAAAATATTAAATAACTCATAAACTATTAATTTTTTAATACTCATATCTTAATATTTTTATATGCAGAATAATTAGAGGAATCGTATTGTGTAAAAAAATCGTACAATTCCATTTAAAAAAGTGGAGATGACCTTGAAGTCTCAAAAAATATGATCTTTGATTCTTGAGAAAAATTTTTTGCTCATCATAACATGTATTCCTTCGAATCGAACAAAATTCCTTATAGTATTTTCTCGTCATCAAAAACAATAGAGATATTTTAAAT